CATGCCGTTTTACCCGTAACAATATCTGCGGCCCGGGAGCACCTATCTTCTAACAGAAAAAATATTAAGAGATTCTTGAGTGACCATTGCTTGCTTATTTTATTCTCATTAGTATGCTTGTTGCACTTGTTAAACAGTCTGCAAGGATGTTCTAGATTCATAGCTTCATACAGCATTCCATGCATCCTGTTAGATATAAATCATCTGTCCCATTTTTTCTTCTTTTTTTAATAATTACTTTTTTACTTAATTTTATTTATTTATTCATTTATTTTATTTTGAGCAGAGAAAGACACAGAGAGAGATAGAGATAGAGAGAGAAACCAAGCCACCAGGCCTGGGACTCGAACCATGGTTGGCCTTGTGGGAGTGTCCAGCACCTTAGCCACCATGCCACCTGCTGGTCCCCATCTGTCCCATTTTGATCATTGTTCAGTCAGGACAATATTCCCGACTACACAGTTTAATAAAAATAAGTGTCAGACCTTGGGGTCAGCAGGTGGCATGGTGGTTAAAGGTAATTCCCACATGGCCAACTTTGGTTTGAGTCCTAGACCTGGTGGCTTGCTTTCTCCCTTTCTCTCTTTCTCTCTCTCTCTCTCTCTCTCGTCAAATTAAAATAACAATAATAATAAATGTAAATAATTCTTTTTAAAAACATGTCAGCCCTTAATCTGTAACACCAGAGTTAAGTAATGTGAAAGTTCATGAAGGTTGATTATTTTGAACCTATAAGCATAGATAACGCCAAAATGCCCATTATCTATTAAAGTTTCTGTAGTTCACTGAACACTTGTCTATCCATTATTTGAATTCTCAAAACAACATTCAAGAGCAATAGTTTCATTTTTAAAAATTAGGAAACTGAAGTTTGTCACCTAGATAATTAAATTAGATGGCCAACCTGAAATGCAAATCTATGTATTTATCTCATAACCCCCTGGCTTTCCTGTACAACTTGGTCAATATTAACATATCTCAGGCAATTTATTGAAAATCTTAAGTATGTAATAAACATTGTTAATTCAGTCTATTTTAAAAAATGCTATGCAACTGTAAAGAATATGGATTTGGTTAATTGTTAATCAAATCCTTAAAACTAAAACTCATGTAAACTATGGGATTCTGAAAGTTTGAAGTTTGGAGCACTACTTTATATGTCAAGTAGTGCCAATGGTTTACAAAAGACTTAGATGAGTCAGTGGGTAATTGGTCAATAATGACAGACAAACAGGATTTATAATATTTGGGTCTTCTTTAACTGTATTTGTGGAACTCATGTTAGCTTGAGTGTTGGACAAGATGGTACTTTTGCTGAACTGAATGTCAGTATCTTTTTTTTTTTTTCCTTAAACAGCAGTAACTGAAGAGACACTCTGTGTTGGCTTAGCCAGGGTTGGAGCCGAGGACCAGAAAATCGCAGCAGGCACTTTACAGCAAATGTGTACTGTGGACTTGGGAGGACCACTGCATTCCTTGGTTATCACAGGAGGCAGCATGCACCCGCTGGAGATGGAGATGCTAAGTCTGTTTTCCATACCAGAAAACAACATGCAATCCTAAGGCCTTGATGGACTCCGAACGTAGGCATTTTCTGTTGTCTGATATAAATTTCAGTCATACCGGGATGTATACAGTTTTGAGTAACAAACAGATCTTTTGTTTTATCTATTAAGTATAAAACAAGTTACCAAAAAGAAAGAAGTTGACTCAACAGTTCTTGGGCTCCTTGTACCAATGAGTTTTCCCCCTTTGATGTCCTCAGCTGTTGTTGCTATTTTGGCAGCTTTAAGGAATGACACACAGGAAACAGAGTATACTGGAAAACTTGTGGATAGACATCCAGTGACAAAATCATTGAAAAGCAATTTCTCTTTTTGAAACCAGTTGACACAAGGTAGTCATTACAGAGTATAACTTAGAGGTGACTGGAACATGAATCACTTGAATCCCAGTTGTAAAGAGCAATAAATGTCAGGAGTGGCAAAGCAGCTAACAGATTGATAATAGTTCACAAATTATTTTTATAATTTTGTTCTTTCTTAAAAAGTCAGCTGTCTTCACTGCCAAATGAGGTGTCCTGGCCTGGTTGGTATTAGTATGCATAAATAGAGGTTGGAAGAGGAAGTCCCACCCACCAGTCTTACTTACATGAAGCTCAGCTGAGCCCCTGCCACAAAACAACACCCTCCTCGATTGGCTGTCTGGTTTAGCCAACATCTTAGTCATGTGACTTTTATTCTCCTGCATATTGGAGGTTGTATGATTGATTAATATTTTACACACACACACATATACTTTTTAAAAGAGATTTTGCTGTTGTGTGTATATAAGAAATCGTACAATTCCTTTGATTTCCATCCCCAGGAGGGATGGCCAAACGATAATCCCTCCTCCATTCTCCTCTTGGGCACACATGCACAAGCACCCAGCATGAGTTTTAACTCTGTAAGTCCAGGACTCAAACCTTGATGGACTATGTGGGAGTCCAGCAACGTAACCATTATGCCATCTGCTGGATCCCAGTAGTATATATATGTTAGTAGTCATATTTTTCTACTCATTTTAGGTAACTTCATTTATTATGTTTCATGACCATAGAGTTTTACATTTTGTGTCAGTCCGGAGTAGAAATAACTCTGTTACATGCCGCTTCAAATCCAATTCTTGACTATTTCCATGGTCTAATAAATAAATCTGACCTCTTAAGTCAATAAATTCATTGGAAGTTGGACAGAAATTTCCCTACTTCCTGGGATCATCAATAGCTAGAGATTATTTTGACTATTTTATTTGAGATAAAAGATACTTAAATATATATGAAACATTTTCAGTCTGCTAGACAGAAAAAGAAGAGAGCCAAGTACACTGAATTACCAGTTGTATGCTATTTTCCTCTGAGGTGTTAAGGCAAACATTTAAAAATACTAAAATGAAGGACAGCTGGTTTGAGTAATGGTGGAGTATTTTGTTATATGCAAAGCCTCTCAATCATAAACTCTCCACAAAGTATAGTAGTAAGGAACTGTCTGAACAGTTACTGAAAGCAGACTTCAGCTTATCTGGCTTTTCCCCTCGGCACATTCCCAGGCAGTGTGGTGAAACATGGCTACAGCTTGAGAAGGTTACAGTCTTACTGGCTTGACGTGTTAGAGGATGGAATGGGCATTGCTAGAGGAGCAGAAAATCAAAGTAGAGGAGATCCTAGAAATGAAAGTGCCAAGAGTGGGTAGCCTCCCAATCTGCATATGATCTCTCCATAAATCTTGGCCAACTCCTGAACTGTGCATGTGCACTGGAGACTCCATGGAATCAAGAGGAGAGCCACAGCTGGAAAGCCAAAGAAGCTAAAGAGATTGATGCTCTCTACTGCAAGAGCAAGAATTCTAAATTTGAATGTTGACAAATTAGAAGGGCTTGATAAGCACCTTTGGCTTTCATTCAAAACCCCAGAATGGCTGTGTATTTTGAAAGACGATGCCCAAGACTAAGGATTTGTGCTAAAAGTAAGAGCAAAACCTTTAACATAATGTGAAATCAAGCTTCCATAAAATCCAGCAGATTAGTCATCAGTTTAAATGCCTGCTAGACCAAAGCTTACCACTCTTTATAGTATGACAAAATGAGTATATACCATAACAACAGTGACCAAAAAGCTCTAAAAAATGTGGTGTGTAAAGAAAAAAAAAAAAACAGGACAGTATGGCTTGTATTTTATTTTTAAAATAAAAGGCTATTTTGAAAGAGGTTCTAACATAACCTAGATAATTGGGATTAGCAGACAGGGATTTTTTTTTTTTTAGAGGTTTTCGCTATAGGGCGCATGCACTTGCCAGACAGACAGAGAGAGACAGAGAGACAGAAAGCGAGAAATCACCCCCCAGGGGGGATGGTCACGCCGCAATTCCTTCTCCTCCATTCTCCTCTCGGGATCTTGGGCATGCACACACACGTGCCCGGCATGAGTTTTAAGCCACCGGGTCCAGGACGCGAACCGCGGTCTACTACATGGGAGTCCAGCGACATAGCCATTACGCTAACTGCTGGTCCCAGCAGACAGGGATTTTGAAGCAACTTTTAGAACTATGTTCATGGATGAAAAGGACAGGTGGTTGTAATGAATGGATATAGATGGTGCTCTCAGTCAACAAATGGAAACTTACAATAAAAAAAGAATCGAATTGTTGGTTTTAATAGCAGAGTACAAATGACATATGAATAAAGAGATTGTCCAGGCTAATGAAGAGAGAAGATTAGAGAGAAGACAAACAGTTTCAATGCTGTGTGGAGCAGTATCAAGCATTTTAACACCTGTGTTAACTGGATTCCAAGAAAAAGAATAGGGTTGGAAAAAAGTGAGCAAATGCCAGAATTGACCCAACTTCTTTGAAACTACCAATTCACACATCCATTAAGTTCAGTAAACTTCAAGCAGAAGAAATGCAAAGAAAACCACACCTAAGATACCAGTTAAAATTCATGTGAACCAGCAATAAAAGCCGTCAGGAGTGGTGGTCTGGAAGTTGCCAAATTTTTATTTGAATTTAAGATATAACTAGACTCATTTATTTTTATTTGCTACATCTGGCAACTCTGTTTTATATATTAAGTCATTGGAAAAGTCATGATGCATTTTGTTCTATGCTTTTCTATGCAACATGCAATAGAAAATCCAATAATTTAACCTCAATGTAAATTGTAAAATGAAAACATTCATCAGCAGAAAAAAGATGGACAATATTGTTCTTTGGCAGATCAAATAGAAAAACCTGAAGGTTACATCCATTTGCTTAGTAGTGTTTAGCTCTTTAATACTTTCATTTTTTTTTAATGCTATTTTAGAGTACCATAATGCTAGGGACCAGCAGGTGGCATGGTGGTTAAGGCACTCAACACTCCCACATGACTGATCACAGTTCTTGTCCTGGTCCTGGCGGTTTGCTTTCTCACTTTCCCCACTCTCTCTCTGGTCAAATTAAAATAAATGAATGAATAAATAAAATTAATTCTTAAGAAAATTATCATAATGTTAGTCTAGGTACCAAAACACCTATAAAACCTTGAGATGAAAACATAGTTCCTTATGCAAGGAACTCCCTCCATATGCTTATATCTCTCCCCTCCTGTAACTCCTGACAACCCTTGATCTTTTCTTTTTCTCTACACTTTTACCTTTATTGAGAATGTCATATAAATAAGACTGACTCCCTTTCGTGTGATGCTTTTGTCATTCAAGTTGTTTGTATCAAAAGTTCATTCCTTTTTATTATTGCTAAGTAGTATTCTCTTGTATGGAGAGACAACATACAGTTTGTGTTTAATTTGTTCACAATTTGAGAGGAACATTTGAGCTGTATCCACATATTGGCATTTGTGTATAGTTGTTCAGACATTCACATACAGGTTTTTGTATGACAAAGTTTTCTTTTTCTAGAGTAAATACCCAGGAGTCAGGTTGCTGGATCACATGATAAGTGTACATTTAATTTTATTATTTTTTCTTTTTAAATGTTGCTAGATCACATGTGCACTCACTGAAAAGAGAGAGAAAGTGAGAAAGCACCTCTCCTCTATAGGGAGTGATCACCCACAGTCCCTGTTCTATTTCTCTCTTCATTTGGATTTTGGGCACACATGCACAGATGCCAGGTTTTCTTACACCACCAGTTAACTTAAACCATTGAGAGGGCCATGTGGGCATCCAGCTGCCTTAACCACCAAGCCATTGGCTGGCCCAGTGCACATTTAGGTTTATAAGAAACTGCCTAAGTGATTTGCAAAGTGGCTGTGCCATTTTGCATTCCCACCAGCATTGTATGAGTGAGTGTCCTTTGCTCTGTCTGGTTGCCAGCACTTCATGTTGGCAGTACTTTTAATTTTAGCTCTTCTAATAAGTCTGCAGTGATGTCTTCATCATGGTTTTAATTTCTATTTCCCTAATGACTTAGGATGTTGAACATCTTTTCATGTGCTTATTTGCCATTCTTACATCCTATTTGATGAAGCTTCTGTTCCTATATTTTGCTCATTTTTAAATTTGACTGTTTTCTTGTGATTAAGCATTAAGAGGTTACATTTAGTCTGGACACAAGTTATCTGTAAGATACATGATTGACAATTTCTTTTCTCCCAATCTGTAGCTTAACCTTCATTCTCTTAACTATCTTGTTGGCAGAGCCAGTTTTCAATTTTGATGAAATTCAGTCTATTAGTGTTTTCCTGTACTGATCATGTTTCTGTTACCATGTCTCAGAGTCTGTTGTCAAGCTCAAGGACACAGATTTTTTTCCCCCTGTTTTCGTCTCAAGGTTTTAGTTGTTTTTTTTTTTTTTTTTTTTTTTTTTTTTTTTAAATAATTTTACAGTTAGATCTGTGATACATTTTGAATTAATTTTTATATGAAGCATGAATTCTAGATTAAGGTTCATTCTTTTTCCTTATAAATGTCCAGTTGCCCTAACACCATTTGTTACAAAGATACTGTTCCTTTCTCTGTTGGATTGTTTATATGTTACTGTCAAAAATTTTGGATCTGTTGCTGGACTCTGCTGTTCTGATGATCTGTGCATCTCTCCCTTCAGTGATGCCACATTGTCCTGACTACTTTAGCTTTATAGTAAATCTTAAAAATGGAATGCGCAGGCCAGCAGGTGACATGGAGATTAAGGTGCTGGATCCCACATGACCTGCTATGGGATTCCAGTCCTGGCCTCAGCGGCTTGAAAATCAGACCAGGTGCATGTGTGTGCCTAAAATCCCAAAACGGGACTGGAGGAGAAGGGATTGGAGTGTGGCCATTTCCCAGGGGAGATTTCTCACTTCCCCTCTTACTCACTTTCCTTTTCTCTGTCTCCCTCTGTTGAGTGCACATATACCCTATACAAAAACTAAGAAAAATTAAAACAGGTAGTATGATTCCTCTAACTTTGTTTCATTTTCTCAAATTTTTTTCATCTAGGAGCCAGCAGGTGGTGTGGTAATTAAGGCACTGGATTCCACATGGCCAACGCCACCAGCACGAGTCCCAGGCCCAAGGGCCTGAGAAACTCACCAGGTGCATGTGTGTGCATATGCCCCAAATCCCAAGGGAATGGAGAAGAGATTGCAATGTGGCCATCTATAGTTCCAGCCATTCTGGTTCCTTTGTCTTTTCATATAAATATTAGAATTTGTTGACCTCTATAAAAGAGCTTGTGAGATTTTGCTAGGAATTGTTTGATAGGTGTGGTTATTGTGATTTATCCTATTTAGAGTTTGTTTAGTTTCTTCAATCTGTTTTTTGCTTAAGTCTGTTTACCCATTTCTTCCATATGATTCCACTGTCGGATCAGTTTTCAAAGACTGCAGTTCCTTTAGGGTTTATATCTTGTTTGTGCTACCCAGTCTGTGATTTAGGAAGTGTGTCGGATAATCTAGTCTCAAGGTATTTTGAACTAGATTATCCCACTAGGTCCTACTAAATAGGATCAGAATAAAAGCCTTTGTGATCTGAGTATGACCCTTGGGATTCATAACCTGCTTTGTGACGTTGCTTTCCTGAGCTTCTCCTGTATTCAGCATGGTTTCCTTGCTACTAAAGGTTCACCATTTAGATCCATACTCTGCCAGAAACTTGTGGTCCTAATTACTTCTGTGGTTATCTGCTGCATATCTTTGGGATTGGGTCTGCATCCTTACTCATAGGGAGGAGGAAAATGGGGTTTTGTTCTTTTTTTTTTTTTTGAACTGTTGCTCTACAGAATAAAAATTCCAATCTCAAAAGTCTCAGTTCCTGGGATTTTCATAGCTGATAGTTGCCACTCCCACCGGATTGCCTAAGTAAAGTCTTTAGAAGCAGTGGAAGGTCTTTATTTCAACTAATAAAAATCCATGAAGTAACTTCACCTTTTTTAGAAGTCTGTAGAAACCCACCTGACCTATGTACAAATTATTGCACAAAAGGAAGTAGTATGGTATGCTCATACGGGACACATAACTTTTGTAAAGTTGAACATTGGTGAGCTAACTTAGTGTTTAGGATGGGAGGATAGTGATGGCTAATCAGACAGATCTTATTTATAATTTTAAGTGATTATGACATTTGCAAAAGTCTAAGCCAGATGACAGGGTTTCTCATTGCTGAGAAACTATACCTCTGCTTTTATGTAAGTCTGAATTATTTTCCTTACAAAATGTCATACTTTAAAGATTCTGCTTAGGGACAAGCAGATGGTGTAATGGTTACATCACTGGACTCCCATGTAGTCAACTGCAGTTCAAGTTCTGAACCCAGTGGCTTAAAACTCATGCTGGGTGCATGTGCATGCATGCCCAAAATTCCAAGAAGAGAATGGAGAAGGGATTGCAGCATGGCCATCCCCCTTTGGGGGTTATTTCTCACTTTCTCTCTCTGTGTCCCTGGTGAGCACACAAACCCAATAGCAAAAATCTCTTAAAAAAAAAAAAAAAGAAACCCAAAATCTATTCTGTGCCTACTGTCAGGAAATACTTTTGGAATGTTTTTTTGTATTCTTTTGTTTTTAATTCTATAGTTGTAGCAGTGGCTGTCTTACAAAAAATAGTTTAACAATTCATACAGAACCATTTTCAAAGAGGTCTCAAACTTCATAGAAAAAGCATAATTCAGGCCTACCTGTATTACAGGCTTCTGGTTAACGTTGCTACTTGGCAACCTGAGGCCATGTGAGGCCTTCGTTCAGTTTCAGGTTCACCCTAAAACCCAGGTATGATGGTCCATGCCTGGATTTCCAGCCACTTGGGAGGCTGAGGCAGGATTGCGACATAGCAAGACTAAAAAAAATAAAATAAAAATAATTCATCCATTTATTTTCAATAAATTTTGACTGCCTACACTATGCCAGTTTCTGTACATTTGAATACTATCTTACTATTAACAATAGTACACCTCTTAATTACAAGACTAGAGCAGAGAAAGTTGAATTGTATATATGAATGTTGTTGCCATGTACCAAGCCCGAACTTTATGATAGATATTTTGCAAACCTGGAAATAGAGCTGGATGAGTTTGATAGTGTTCAAAGGAACTAGAATCCCGTTAAAGTGCTGTTTTTCCCCTCCCTCCTTTCTGACTGAAAAATCGTAAATTGCTGTCTGCCTGCATCTATTGAACTTGTTTGTTCCTCCATGTCTGTGCCATTTCTCTGGCCTAGGCGAATGAAATTTTGCCTTTTGCCATATCATGGAAATAAGGAGGGAAAGCAAAGCACTTTGAGTTTCCAGAGTTGTACACAGAATTTGTATTTGATAAGCACTGGGGAGTCACTCAAGATTCCTGCTAGAAGACTGAAAGTGTTAATCTGTCAGTGTAATAATATGGTGGTTTCTGGGAGGAAGGAAACAAAAACTAGATAAAGAGTTGACGCAGTATTGGGGTAAACAACTTGGCTAAGCCTGTTGTAAACACAAGAAGCTGCTCTAACCGGGTGGTTGACAGGCCACTGGAGACTTGCAAAAAGTCCAATTGCTAATTCCAGAGAGCACAGGAAAGGCAGGGATCCCTGGCAGGTGCTGTAGACCCACCAAGTCAAAGGGCAGTGTGCATTCGAGCCACTACCCAGTACTAGTAATCAGGAAGCCAGGGCAGGGGGAATGTTTTAAAAGGCCCCGAGCACATGTCAGCAGAAGTTCCTTGTGCTCCCTGACAAAGTCAGAACTGTTTCTGTGTGTGTGTGTGTGGTGGCTGAAGCTGAGTGGGGAATAGAAGGGGAGCCAGGCAGTTTTCAGAAGTGATTCTGCTTACAGCCATCAATGAAATCCTGAAATAGGCCAGTGGGAATGGAAGAGGTGAATTTAAGAGACTGTTAAGGAAGGCAAGGATTTTGTGATAGGGGTGCAGGAAATAGAGGTAGCAAAGGCCATTTGTAAGAATTCTCTAAGGAATTGTGATAGAATTGGTAGTTGAGTAGAGATTCCAGTGAGAGGTAATTTCATGTCTCTATCTTGAATGTTTGCAACTTCTGCCATGGATGTGAGCAGTAAGCCACTGATGTCTTTAAACAATTTCTGCAACACAGAGAACAGTGGAGCCATACCACTAAGAGCTATGAAGATGACTAGAAAGGAGGAGGCATGTGGAGACCCATGTGAGGAATCTGATAGCAGACATGCTGAGGATAAAAGCATCAGTGTGGCCGAGACTGATAGTAAAGAGGCTACTTTGAGAACACCTTTGAGAGGGTGGGATGAATATGGTCTGGAGTTTTATGCGAGGTGTTTTTTTTTTTTTTCTTTCTTTTTAACTTCCCTCTGATTAGAGGAAACATTTGGAAGATAATGAAGTGTCAGGTCAGATGAGTTGGTCTTCATTTCATGTAAGATGAGATCATCCAGAGAGTGAGGTGAGAGAATAATTTAGGAATCAAAACCCTCTGGAAATAAATACTGTGTTTATGATATAAAATGATGAATAAGAGCCACAGTAGGCTTTTCAGAATGTAAAGACATTTCCATCGCCTTGTCTTTTTCTCTAATGAGTTTTGCTATTTCCTCATTCTCAGAATCATTCTTTCCCTTCAGTACCTTAAAGTCCTTTAGAATCTATTCAAATAACTATTAGATTCACAGGCTTCTTTTCAGTTCGTCAAACTAGTAGGCACAATTCAAATGCAGCGTTTTTTTTTTTTAAACAGAATTTTATTGAAAGAATTTTGATACAGTTCTTCATGATTCCTTTTAAATACATGTGCTGTGAAACAAAGCACATACATGAATGTGTTCAAGTAGAGAAAGTGAAGCATACATTATGGATGTGTACTGCAGTTAGGCAAACCATATTTGCTCACTTTAGCATATTTAAACCAAATTACGACAGTCTCTAGAATTTGGCATTCCAACCTAGCCTTGTATTCAAACATTTTAGGAAATGTTTTGATGCCATGATCTTCACCAAAGGAATCAAACACAAACATAAACTTGGCTTAAAACGCTTTAAAGGCAGGGAGGTGAAGTAGGGGTATAGAGAATATACTAAGGGATTTGCCAATTTTCCTTCATAGAATTTCCAACAGTAAATGACCCATTCTGTTTATGTAATACCACACTGAAAAATTATCACTGAATTTGCAGCTATTACAGAAAGAAATAAAATTATTTGACACACTATTGACAGGATGTATCTAGGTCAAAATATAATTTTCATTGAAGCTAACTGGTGCACAATACATGATAAAATCCAAATACTAAAATTCAAAATAAAGTTTATTTTTTACTAGTATAAAGTGAAAGTTCTACAGTGGAATCAACAATAAAGAGAGATGAAAAATAAATGAAGAGACAGAGGAAGGTTCTACTAAAATTTAGTATTTGGAAGAGAAAAAGAACAGAAAGGTAAAAGTTTTCAAGGAATATTTAAATCTTGTTTTCATATATATATATATATATATATATGTATATGTGTAATTTTTTTTAGGAGCAACTTCAAGAAATACTTGTAAAATTTTTGGATGAGAATGCACCCGGAGATGAGTAAGTAGAAGACAAGTTACACACAGATCCTTAAATATGGCAGTTTTTCATAAAAACAAAGGAGACTCTGGTTCCTGATTAGACGTTTATACAAAAATATAAAATTTCAAGTGAGCCCAGGTTCCCCAATCTCAGTTTTGCCAAACTTCTGTCCAAAAATTATAAACTAGATAACATCTACATACTCCCACTGTTGATGGATTTTAAAAGAATGAGCGCCTCACAGGGCTGCTTGGAAAAAAAAAAATGGCCATGGAGAATATAAATTGACTGATGTGTGCAAAAATTCCAAAGAAATGCCAAGATGTCTTCTGTAATAAATAGTAAATTATTGCTTTTACCATTCCCTAAGCCTTTTGTATCTACTACTATGTACAATACTCACTAGTTAACCATTTATTATGTAAATTTGGAGCCAAAGGATATATTAGGGGGCTTCAAAATGTTCTTAGAAAATGCATATTATGAAAAACCTGTGTACTTTACATTTTTGTACCAAAATAAACTCATACTCAATTCTGTTTTTCCATGAACTTTTTGAAGCCCTTTTGTATATAGCAAAAACATTCTTTTTCACCATCATTATCAAAATTCCAAATACTAAATTTCCAAATCCATGGTAAGAGTTCAAAGTTAAATGTTACTAAGTTTAAATATAAGTTACTATTATTTTTTCAACAGTGTTCTCCTTTTGAAAAGTTCTGTATAAAATATAACCTCGTAAATCAAATCCTATTTATCCCTCTCCTGCAGTGCTAAATTGTTTACACTTCTAAAAAAAATTCTTTAGTAAGCTAAATAAATGACACTTAGGTAGGAGTTCAGGTTCCCTCCTCATACTACAGAGAGGGCACTATCTTTTGAGTCAGACCCTTAAAGCTCTGGGAGTGCCAATACAATTTTCTACATTTTTTTCTTCTAGTGATCTTAAAAATGCTTAAATGAAGGACCAGCAGTTAGCGTAATGGCTATGACGCTGGACTCCCATGTAGTCGACCGCGGTTTGCGTCCCGGATCCAGTGGCTTAAAACTCAAGCCAGGTGCGTGTGCGTGCGTGCCCAAAATCCCAAAAGGTGAATGGAGAAGGGAGTTCAACATGGCCATCCCCCTTGGGGGGTGATTTCTCGCTTTCTGTCTCTCTGATTCTCTCTGTCTGGCGAGTGCATGCGCCCTATAGCAAAAACTTCTCAAAAAAAAAAAAAAAAAGTTTAAATGAAACTCTGATTACTCTTTTTAGCCTGCACATCTTAAGATCACTGTCAAAGATAAGGAATTAGTGTCAGAGTACCAAAAGGACTGAACCTAAACAACGTACAATGGTTACTCCTGTTGTCAGGTGACTGTTCATAGGTTCTAGGAGAGCTGCTTAACTGGGCTTCAGCTTGGATCTTAACATTGTCGGATGACATTCACAGAGCAGTATTCAGAAAAGGCACTGGACCAGTAGGTGTTCTGCCATTGGCTATCCCACAAAAAATCATTTAAAATCTCTAGAAATAGCTTCCTCATCTGCAGAATAAGGGTAAAAATTGACTCCTAAAAGGGATGAACTAGAAGAATATGTATTTGAAAATGCTGTCAATCATAAAACAAGACAAAACTCATTATAGGAATGTGAGGATTAAATGGGATAACATGACAAAGTCGACCCTGTGTCTGGCAGATAAATTACTTAGTAAGGGTTATTACCCACTCTTGCCTTCTGTATAACTTGCAGGTTAAAAAAAGAAAAAAAACGTTAAACATAAACCAAAAACATCCTCTTCAAAACGACTCACCTCCATCTGGACTTTAAATTGAACTGTATTTCTTTGCTGCTTTTCTAAAGGTTTTTGTTTTGTAGAGGTTTTTTTTTTTTTTGGATGCATAATTTTTTATTGTATTCAAGTCTGTCTTGATTTTAAGAGATCAGGATCACTAAGGTTTCTGTGGAGATCCGGTCTAGAAACAGTCTTCATCTACTGAAAACTTTAATGAGTGCTCTTCAAAGAACAAAATAATTTCCTTCTTCCAAGTTCTTGTGAATAGAGGAAGAATTCATTTCAAAGGTGGGAACAAAAAGAAAGGAAAAAAAGCTTAACTTTCCCAAGATAATGCTTTTATGAAAAATTGTAAGTAGCAGTTTAGTAGTAGGGATTCTGATTAGATGTCACAATTTACCTGGCTGAATTAAAAGATTTGTCCTATACAACATTTAATGCCCAATTTTGCATGGTGCTGAGAATCTGTAAAATGGAAAAACCCTCCAGTAAATGAAAACCAAGGTGGCAAGACTGAAATGATAAGACCTGTGAATTCACTTCCCAGAATATAAACAAAATGAAGAAATAAGTGATCCTTAAATTCTACATAACCTTTGTTAATCAACAGAAAAACTCACTCACAAGATGACAGTATCCATCGGGCAGATACAATTTTTTTTAAGTTAGGAACTGGTCATAAGTATAAAAAAGTAAAAAAGAATAAAAAACTATATAATTTATAAGGAATATTATGGAAACAATATTCTAAACCTCATCATTAGATGTGAGAAATGAGACAATAAAACTCCATTTATAAAGTGCCTTAATGTACCAAAAATGGAGGTCAGATGTCCTTTATTTACATACAATATTTAATCACATTTGTAGAAAGGCAAATATTACATTGGAGAGGCAGTACAATAGAGTATAAAGAAATCTTGACTTGGAGTCAGAAGATCTGAATTCTTGGTTCTGCCCCTAATTATCTCTGTGACTATAAGGAAATGACCACTTTTCTGGGCTTCTATTTTCTCATCTGTAAAATGAGAGGTAGAACTAGACTGCTTCTCAAAACAGTCCTGCATTGATGTAAAATTCTACATTAAGCAACTGTTGTTCTAAAATCCCGGCATTCTATAACAGGGTGCTACTGTATTAATAGCCTCTCTAAGAATTGATTACTCCATAATAGGTAAAAATATTAGAGAAGTCTGATCAGCTGTATTTGATGTTAATGATTTGGCTGCATTACAAAAGTATACAAAAGTCACAGTATTTTGGTTTCTTATATGTGTATACCTTGAAAAATGCTGAAACATTCTAGACACAAGAGAAATCTCAACGCCAGTGATATGCCCATTTCCTTATGCCTCCACTGCAGAAGAATGGTAGGGATGAGGGCATAAGGAACAGCCTACTAGGAATGGGAGACTGCCCTTCACAAGGACGCACAGGGAGTTAGCAAAATAAGGAAGCCCTTCATCTTGAGTAATACATAATTAGATTGGAAAAAAAAAGGGTATGTAAATTTTGATTTGAGGAGGTGAACTTCACAAACTTTCCCTGAGCACTACATTTGTTCTCCAGAGAATATTTTGATTTTTAAAATATTGGCAAAGGTATACTCAGATACAGTTTTGTTTTGTTTTTGCCCATTAGCCCAATAATAAGGCCATCCTAAATTCATGTTATAACAATAACCAGGTAGTATTTCAGAGAAAAGTTATCTATTTTAGTAATACACCTGTGCCAGGAACACTGACATAACAGTATTTCCTAAGAGGGAAAAAAAGTTCATTTTTCTCACTTTTTTTTTTTACTGATGCATACACAGGTAGTTAACATTTAAAATATAAATGTTAAGGGCCAGCAGATGGCACAGCTGTTACATCACTGGACTCCCACTCGGCCAGCTCCAGTTCCAGTCCTGGGCCTGGTGACTTAAATCACGCCAGGTGTGTGTGTGTGTGTGTGAGAGTCCTCCCTGAAGGAGGGCGGAGGAGAAGAGATTGCAGCATGGCCATCCTCCCTGTGGGGTAATTTCTCACTTTTCCTGTCACTGTCACTGTCTCTGTCTCTCTCCGGTGAGCGCACATGCCCCAAGGCAAAAACCTCTTCAAAAAAAATAATAAGTTAATGCCAACCTACTAAAAAATAAGAGATGGCAATCTCTTACAAGTGCCAAATCAGAGTTTTGCATCAGTCAACGTTCTATATGCACTATGCCTTCTCAAAGAAAAAAAAAAGAAAACATGTTTCTACATTTATGTATTGAGAAAACAGTTAAATAAGATGGTTGAATCTGACGAAAACTTCACATAGAGGGCTCAGTAAAAGGCAGAAAAGGCAGAATTGGATCTTCAAAACATGCTAATTCAAGTTTATAGAGCAGTGCAATTATCTCCGTACGTGAAGTGTCAGTACAGTTGCACATAGTTTTTAAAGGCATATATCCAAAGTCTGCTGTCATCCAGAACTGTCATTTTCTATAATATGCCCAAACCCACACACTCAGAGTTTTATCAGATTTGGCAGTAATTGCAAACTTCCAAATGACGCCTTTAACAACAACCACAAATATATCGTTATCTGGACATTTCCTTTCGTACCTTCCCTCCTAGAAGACCTCAAAAATTGTTTTAGTTAAACATTCCACTGCCTGGCAATAAGCAAACATGTTTTAACAATCTTTATCTGCAAAAGGATACTATTGATAGTTCATGGCAATCTGCAACAGTTTAGAAAAGCATGAAGTGGTCTAGTTTTCCCAATACAGAATAGTTCATAAATTATTAGGCTGTCAGGAAAGTCATGATGCATGACTTTTTCCTGATAACCCAATAAAATTCCCAAAAGAGGCGGGTAGGGGGAGACACTCTGAAACACTGACAAAATCAAGGGATTTCTGCAACTTCACTGAAAAAGTGCTTCTATTTCTTACCATTCTGTTTTACAGAGATAGGGTCTCACTGTGTTCATGTTGCCCAGCTAGCTTTGGCAACTCCTGATCCTCCTGCTTCAGCATCCTGAGTAGCTGGGATTACGAGCACCTGCCACAGTGCCTGGCAAAAGTTCTTTATTGTCGATCTACATTCTCAATGATTATTTGTATGCTGCAAGTTTCTTTCCTACCAATTTACATTTTTTTTTAAAGTTAAAAGGGAATGAATATACATTGTGATAAAATTAAGTACAATGGGAAAATGTTTATCCCAATCACTATGTCTTCATAAATCAGAATACTTGAGTATTCAAGCATTTGGCATCTCAAATTGAAATTTTATTTTTCAAATACGCAAGAACCTAGAAAGTAAACTAATTTATTATTTACTTCTAAGGTACCTGTGTTAGGAAGAGGTGTATATCACATTTGCTCCATAACTTCAATAGTGTAAACTGAATAAAATGCTGTTTTAGGATTTCTGAAAACAACTGTTTGTGCAAAGTGTAAACAGGAAAACAAACAGTATGACTTGGCATTTGAAGAATGAAAAAGCAAAATAACACTATCACAACCATTTCTACTTTCAGGCTACATTGCCTTTTCCTTTCATTAATAAAATCTGTAAAAACAGCAAAGAGAGAAACAGGAAAGTTTATCATAGACACAGAAACATTTATGGAAATTTGGACTTTGGCAGATGTTTTAAATCAAAACAATTTTTGGAATAATAGATAAACTTGCAAAATTTTAAAAGCACAGTCCATAGAGGAAGTAATTGTTATACTTGAATTTGTTTTAAAAAGTAAAATAACACCTTTTATTTTTTGATGGGATAAAAGAATTTTCTCCTATGTGTATGTGTGTGTGTGTGTGTATATATATATTTACATACACACATACATATATATAAACTTATGCTGAAAGTACACAAAAAGACAATTTGTATACATTACTAGCAAGAATCTTATTTTGTGCAGATTACAGAATATCCATTTAAAAAAACAGAAAACATTTACATGACCTTTGATGGTACGTTTCTATGCTGGCAAATACATTTTCTGATACAAAGGCACTTTGAAAATCCAATATGGTTTGCTTTGTAAGTTTGCGAGGTACAAACAATTATACAAACATATGATTATATTCTGGAGAACGTCAATAATTATGACGTTACATATAAAACAGATTTCCATTTCTTTCTTTGTTTTTTGTTTGTTTGTTTGTTTGTTTTTTGTTTTGTTCTTTTTTTATAACACTGGTTTTGTGGGAATGAAAGCAGTGGTTTCCAGGAGCTTCAGTGAAGACATTCCAGATGACTGGAGGCCCACAATCTGCATTTCCTACTGGCTAAGATAGAGGTAATAGAGGTGAGGGCATTCTGTATGAAAAAAAAAAGACAAACCAACACCCTGGAACAAAATCAGAAACCTCAGAAATCAAAATGGTGTGGAGGAAAGAACATAAAAGACAAGACCAAAAGTCCAGGAAACATCCTCTTAATTCTGATCTCTTAGCTCTGAACTCCCCACAGAGCACACAGCTGACTCCACCTGGTCTATTTGGTGCTGGGGAGTTGTAGTGATGATTTTTCTGTTTTAAAATGCTGGGTACAATGTTTTGGATTGTACAGTACCAGAAAAGTTTGGTCCACAAAAGCATAATTTTCATTTACTACATGGCCGCAAAGTCAATCTGTACATAAAGCTGTCTCACTCCAGCCTGAAAAATTAAACAAAATAAAAGATTAGAAAATCAAGCGTACCAGCAACAGACAATACATTTCAGAAAAGCACCAGGAAAAAAAAATCTTCATTTTAAAAAGGAGAGAATTATTTTTCTCTTCTGCATCTGGGAAATAGTTCTTACTTATTATCATCAGGCACCAGAAAATCATTTCAGAAAAAAATTTATTCATAAGTTGCAAAAAAGAGTTTCCATTTACCATACAAAAAAAAAAAAAGAGTTAAACCACTAGTCACATGCTCTGTCCAAGGGATAGTTAGAAAAATGGGGTTACCCATCTACCATTACTGTTAGAGGACATCATAGTGCTTGACTGGTTGGCTTCTAATTAAAATCAATAAATCAACCCAGTCTATATCCTCCCATGGTAAATGATTAGTAAATACTTTAGTAAGTTTGACCATCCATTATTTTACACTCCAACTCCTCTCTCCCATTTTAGAAATGAACTCGCTGCTCAAGGATGTTGCTCTCTTAATTGTCCTGTCTTTCCTGTATTAATTTTCCCTTCTCCACTGGGTTTTTATTAGCATATAAGCACACTGTAATTTACTCTACCTTTTAAAAAGAACCTTTTACTTAACCTTATAGCCTCTTATGGCTACAGGGCTAATCTCTGCTCTTCTTTTCAGCAAAAATTTTCATATTTGCCGTCTACAATTCCTTTTCTCTCTTCCTTCTCTTGAACCCATTTCAACCAAATGTTTGCCTCCCACCATTTCACTAAAACTACTTTTCAGTATCACCTCCGAGTTACTCCTACAAAATGCTCAATTCTCAGGTATCATCTTACTACTTACCCTGCCAGCAATAAAACATGATCTCGCCCTTCAACTAAACACTTTTTCCCCTTTTGGTTTTCAGAGAATATTCTCTGGCTGCCCCTTCATTTGTCAGATCTTTTCAGTTTCCCTTGATGTTTTTTCTTCCCATCTTTGAACATTAAACACTGAAATACCCAGTCCTGCCTGAAACATTTCTTATTCTTATTTGCCCCCTAGATGGTCTGGTATCCAGACTTTAAGAACCATCTATTTTGCTCATCTTAATAACCTTTTTTTCTCTAACTTCAACATACGATTCATTTGTATACTTGGTAACCTTACCTTCAAAATAATGCCAGCCCAGAATCTATCCTTTCATCATCATCTCCATTGCTACCACGCTGGCCCTGACTGCTATCCTCTTTCCTCTGGATTTTGCAATGGCCTCCTATCCAGTTTTCCTGCTTTTACCTTTGCTGTCTATTGGTCTGTGCCCAGCAGAACAACTAGAGTTATGTCACCCATCACTCAAACTCAGCTTGTGAAATTCTCTAGACCTTAGGCGCTCAGAGTCCTTACAATGGCTAACAAAGACCACGTGATCTGGTTCCCAATCACCTCTCTGATCTCATTTTTCTCCTCTCCTTGTTCAGGCTCCCTCAGCCATATTGGCCTTTCTTCCTGGAAAGACCTACTTGAGATGCCCACATGACCTGTTTCTTCTTTTGTCACATCCCTACTCAGACATCAGTGAGGCCTACTACATAAAATGCATTTAATTCATCTGTCCAAAAAATATTTATTGTGCATTTATTGTATTCCTGACAGTGTTCCCTCTTCTAGGAATATAAAAGTAAACAAAACAGATAAAAATTATCCTTGTCCTCCCAAATAAGCAAGTATATACAGTACGTGACACGATGATGCTTCAGAGAAAAAGCAAAGCCTGGTACAAGAGCCGGTAAATGCCTCCACACTCCCAATCTCCCTACCTTGTTCTCTGTACCCCTAACACTAACCACCTCATGACATATCATAAAACTTATTGTTGAGCTCCCTCTATAATATAACCTAAGATAAAGAATTTGTTTTCCCACTGCTGACCCCTAGAACCTCAAGATTATGGTAAGTGATAGATAGCTGTCAAATGAAAGGAAATTTTAATTTGTTCTTTCAAACAAATTTTAGTTTTTTAATGAAAGTGAACTATCACAATAAATCCTTTCTTGTCAATATCACAGAATAAAACATAAATTAGAATATTTAATAAAGGAAAAAAACAGTAGGAAGTAAGAATCTACTAACACTACCTGCTTAGGTAATTTCTAGGTTTCTCAAAGCACTGCCTTCTAGCTGGGCTTTTTTTTCCTATGAGCCAGGTAGAAGGACTCTGCACAATAGCAATGAATGACAAATGAATTCCTGAGAGGACTTGGGAACTACACCACAGAATAAAAAGCTGGATAGACTGTAAAATTCATGAGCACAGGAAAAAAATAAAAATGTCTTTTAACTTTCTTTCTATCTTAAAAAAAAAAAACTATCATAAGTTAAAACTCTCTGTGTTCCAATATAAAGAATATACATTTAATAACATCCTCTCCCAGGAATTAAGAGATGGCAGAAAAAAAAGAGAGACCTTCATTATCTATGGGACCTTAGCTGAAAATTAAAAACCAAATCTTAGTTTTTCTCATTTTAGAAGTGTTAATAAATACCAACCCTATTTATATCATACATGTGTTACATATTCATTCAGTGTTGAACAAATATTTAATAAATTCCTGCTAAATACCTGACACTATTATAAAGATTTCATGTGACTATATGAGAAATAATTACATAAGCTATGAAAGGCTATTTCAAATTATTATGATTGATTACAATGATATGATTTAATTTGCTCAGTCCAGATGACTGATGAAGTAAACTGCTTAGGAATTCTTGCAAAATTCTTGTATATGTAACCTTAAGAAAAAACAAATAAACAGTCTTTTTTTCTTCTCTTTCAACAAAATTGTTAATGAAAGTAAAATGGGCAAAAGGAATTGGGCTCCTTTTATTGTCTCTGCCATTTTCCATACTCATAGCGCTAACAATGTGAAGATGGTAATAAGAAATGAAATAGCCCAAGGCAATAAAAAAGAAAGAGGAAAAACAAAGAAGCTAGGTAAATTATCTTTGCATAATCATGAGTTAATTACTCAAGCTAATAACCTTCCCCTGAGGGCCTATTCTTTCCACAAAGCACAGTAGAACAGCAAAAAAAAAAGTCATTTCCCTTCATCATTCTCTCCCAATGGGAACACCTTTAAGTTTTCCAGCTTCTCATTTTGCTCTTTTAATTTCTTTCAAAGTAGAGAAAAAAGCAGAATTTCCAAAGAAGTCTATGGTAAGCCACCTATTTCCTGAATGCAAACTAGGTTTTCTATAGTTAATTCACATCACAAAGACATGACCTATACCACACTTGAAGAGACAAAAACATCATCATTAAAACGTCATATTTGGTTACATCAAATATTCTAGCACTAGAATACCAAAAGTCAGAAGCTGTGGAGAGCTTGTCCTTAAACAGTGAAAGTCATGTAACATCCTGAGAAAAACTAGTTATTTTGAACACGTGTATGATTCTAAGAAAATAAATGCTAACCTGGTGCCATATGCTTAGAATATCTTCAATAAATATTCATAAATGTAAAAAGCAGAACAAATTGTAAGTAAAAAATTTACAAAAATAAATAGGACTAATACTATACAAGTTATTGGTTTCCTTGTATCAGTATATTCCAAACAAAACATGTGTCTTCTTTAGTTTTTGACTATACTGAGTTGATAGTATTAATCCTTATCCATTTAAAACGAAGTTTTGAAAAACTGTCTTACTTTTTCATGGGGAACCTAAAACCTTTGAAAGGTAGCAAAAAAGCAGGTGAATATGACTAGATGACAAGTCAGGAATAATAACTTGAGTCTGGTTTTCCTTTTGGTAAGCTGTCTTCTGAGGATTGATTACTTTGTTAGGTACCCAACCTGTCGTAATGCTTGGTACATGCTGGACTCTTAATAAATGCTTGCTGCTGCTGCTAGTCTTATTTTCACCATGCTAAACCAACCAGTGAACACTTACACCATATGCACTAATTAAAAACAACAAACCTAGGACTCTATCAGCCTCACATTTTGTGGCTGTTCACTCTAACATCCTAAGGAGGTTAGGTTCTAGTGGACTTTGAGTAAATTTCTTGAAAATAGATAATGTAGGGAACCAGCAGTTAGCGTAATGGCTATGTCGCTGGACTCCCACATAGTCGACCATAGTTCACGTCCCGGACACGGTGGCTTAAAACTCACACCGGGCACGTGTGCGTGCGTGCCCAAGATCCTGAGAGGAGAATGGAGGAGAAGGGATTGCGGCGTGACCATCCCCCCCTGGGGGATGACTTCTCGCTTTCTGTCTCTATGTCTCTCTCTGTCTGTCTGGCGAGTGCACACGCCCTATAGTGAAAATCTCTCCCCCCCCTAAAAAAAATAATAAATAAATAAAATGAAGAAAATAGATAATGTAAAGATGGATAAATAAAATTTTTCAGTCAAAATCAAGACTTAAAAAAGATTTAAGGCCCTACAAAATGGGGGAAAAAATGGATTGGGCAAAAAAATAGTCTGCCTAGGAAAGGTAGATAACTTCTTCCACTCCCTATTCTTACCTTCAAGCAGACCAAGCAAGGCTGAATGAGATTTTTAGCTAGAGATAAGGGATTATGAATCAAGGAGAATGAAATGCAGAGGGTTTCTAAAACTTTGGGAATTCCCATTTGAGCTGCTGAGGAGGCTTTTTGGTTCCTTCCTGAGTATCCTCATTACCTTCTATTTTGAGACCACAGTTCAACACAAAAAGCTGAAGCAGGAAGCTGAGAGCTTTAGACTTAATAGGAATAATGGAGAAGGTAGAAGTTCTGTTAGGGTTGATTATCCTTTGTACTTTGAACTAAAGAAGGTAATGTTGTATTATAGAATATTGTAGGTTTTTCTTGAGGCATGCTCTAAATTTTTCTTTAGTGTGTTTTCATTAAACAACATTATTTCTAATAAAACAAGAGTATTAAAATTTTAGGACTATAGTTATAACTGTGAAGTGTGAGAACAAGAACAATTTTTTTACCAAAAAGCTTTTACTTAAATTTTTCTGAATTAAGATCAGCTACAAACATATCTAAAAATAAAATTAACCAAAAAATTATGCTTTATTTTAAAAAATCCCTCTTTGGCCTTTTGGATACTAAATTCACCAGTATTTTAATCTTTCCAAGAAATACACTTAAAGCGTCGGTATAATTTTTTCCTAAAAAATGAAGCAATCTGAGTTTTTATTTTTGATATGTAAAAGTTATGAATAAGATATAATATAAAATAAAAATAATTTAAAAATTTCAAATTATATTTGATGATATGAAAATTCTACTGCAAGCCCTGGCATGGAGCTGTCACAATAAGAACATGCATCACTAGGTATAAGCAGAAAAGGAAAATAAATTAACTATAAATCTCAATATTGCATATGTCAGAACTAAAACAATAATCACAAAGCAAATTTAACATCATTAAATGTAGGAATGAAAGTCATTGGTAAGGTGGTTTGTCTCTCGCCCCTTTGAAAAAATGTTTTGAACTATCATCATTGCAAGTCTCAAAGAGTTTACAAGTAATGAAATTAAGTTGACTTGACCTTAGCTGCTAGAAAGGATTAAAATATTTTCAGGACTTAAAATATTCAAAGCCCAAATGCAGTTTCCAAAACCAAAGAAGCAGCTGAATAAACTTCCAACTTCAGCCATTTTAAAAACCAAGATTTCTAATGTTACCAGAAGTACCTCCCTCCGTCTACTCAGATTACAGTTTCAGCAGTTCCTAAGCACAGGCACAGCTGCTTGCACTTTTCTAAACCTAGAAACAGCATTCCATTTTGGAGGGAACTAAGTACCCAAAGCACCAAAGTCTTAGGAGATTATGGGCATCCTAGGGGTCGACAGAAGCTCACATTATAAGGGTATAACTAAAAGAAAATTCAGGGAAACCACAGAAAAATGATTGGGAACGTCAGTAAAAGAAAGGTTTCTGTTGGCTTTATTTTCCTCTTGCCCTTGAAACATGAAGGAGGTAAGAGAAAAATTCACACATACTGTAATGGTCTTCCATGCTGTTATGAAAATCATAATAATACACACTCAATATAATGTCTATTCAGAAAGAGATCTAATTGTTAGACATTCTGGAATACAGAAGTGGTACCAGTTTACTGTTTTATAGTACAGTAAGTCTTGATTAGATATAAGATTATGATTAGAGTAAATCCTAATCACATCTAACTTTATTTCAGTAATTTATTCCCAAAGGAACCTAGTCATATATAATAGTTCCTTTTCTTACTGAAGAGATGCATTTATACTACAGTCCTGAATTTAACTAAATTCCTATTATGCTCGATTGCCCATGTCAGAAAATGTGAGATCTCTCTAGATGGACAGACAGATGGATGGATGGATAGAAAAATAGAAAGACAGACAGACAGATAGACAGACAGAAAAGATCAATAGGAGCCCAAGAGTATTTTTCTATACTTAGCATATATAAATATGGTTTTGGTCAAATACATTTTAAGAATTTATTTATCTAACAAATTTATTATGTATGTATACTCTTCCAAGTATTAGGAATGCAAAAACATGATATCTAGTGGGCACCTGCAGACAAGTGTATATAATGTAATACATATATCAAAGTAATTCTATTTTGAGGCATCTGGAAAACTTCAGAGGAAGTAACAATTGAATTGGACCTTTAAGTTACAGTAGGAATTTTGTACCCCACAAAAAAGCACACCATCTCATTGGTTTGGAGCACAAAATACAAGCCAATGAAAAGCAGGAGAGAGACATGAAAAGCTAATTAATTGTATCACGCCATAAAGTGTGGGCTTTACTGGTGGCAATGAGGAACCACCAAAGTTATTTTTTAACTTTACACAAAAGAATAATACAATAATACCTATAGACACATCACCTATATTTATCAATTGCTACCATCTTGCCATATTTGCTTTCTCTCTCTACATATATATATTTGCCTATAATATTTCTTATTATTGCCAAAACATTTGAAAATTCGAAAACTTGATATTTTACATCTAATCTTTCCACATGTATCTCCTAAGAATAAAAACATTTTTCTATAAACCACAATAACCTACCACATCCCCAAAATTTAACATCTATTATTATATGAACTATTACACACATATTCAAATATATTCAATAATATCCTTTTTGGCTGTCTTTTTCCCTCCAGTCTAAGATCCAATCAAGGGCTACATATTTCATTTAATTGGAAAGTCTCTTATAATTTAGAATTATATTTTCATGACATTAACACTATTTAAGAATCCATGCCAGCAGTCTTTTTTTTTGTCTTTTTTCTTTTAGGGAGAGGTTTTTGCTTGAGGGTACGTGCGCTCCCCAGAAAGACAGAAAGTGAGATATCACCCCCCAGCGGGGAGGGCTATACCACAATCCCTTCTCCATTCTCTTCTCAGGATCTTGGGCACCACGCACACGCGCCTGGAGTGAGTTTAAGCCACTGGGTCCGGGACTCAAACCGCAGTCGACTCCATTGGAGTCCAGTGACATTGCCATTACACCTACTGCTGGTCCCCATGCTAGCAGTCTTGTAGAAGTTTTCACAAGTTGGATTTGCCAGGTTGCTTGCTTAAGATCAGGTTCAAGTAAAACATTTTGGCAAGTGTATCAAACAGGTCATGCTCTATATTCCCCAGAGTGTCACACCAGGAGGCTCAAAATGTCAGTTTTCAACCATAGATTTTTAAAGCACAGAACCAATTTCTCATTAGATCTTAGCATTAGATCATTTTAACAGCAGTGCTGATGTCTATTTTTTTTTGGTTTTTTTTGGGGTTTTTTTGGCCAAATGTTTCCAGCAAACTAGACTCCCCCAGATTTTTGTTCCTCTTCTTAGATGTTATTGACATGATCTTATCATCTTCCTAATACATACACTGTACCACAGTCATCACCCTTACTTTGATTATCAGTCACAGACTATGTTAATTTATGATGGCACAAGTATTAATTAAAAAAATTTGGTTGCAGACCATTCATGATTCATTCATGATTCAAAATCACTCATGATTGAAAATACAATACTGAGAAAAACTCAACAGCGTATTAAGCTGCTGAATCACATAGAAGGTAACTTTGGCTTTGCTATCACACTAAAAAGTCTGCTTTGAGCTAAAGCTACTGACAAAATACTTTTCTGAGTCCAAATGCTAGTTTAGAATTCTTGGTTTCCAAAGCATCTAACATGTCTTCTAAACAAAGTGCAATAAAGGAGAATCTACTTTTTCTTAAAGAAATTCAAACTGGTATGATGAGTACAAAGGAATTATCTTCATTAAGAGTAGTAATTAAAATAAAGATTTCCCAAATATGACTCTGTGATTGGAAAAAAATTAGTTTTATGCTTAAAAGCAAATACACTTTTTTGGGGGAGCCAGCAGGTGGCACGGTGGTTAAGGGTGCTGGACTCCCACATGGCTGATCATGGTTTGAGTCCCAGACATGGTAGCTTGTTTTCTCACTTTCTCTCTCTCTCCACTGTCTCTTTATCTTTTTCTGGTCAAATTAAGATAAATAAATTAATAAAGTTAAATAAAATAATTGTTTTGTAAAAGCATATATACTAGAGACAGAGAGAGAGAAAGTGAGAAAGTACCACCCCAGAGGGGATAGCCACTCGGAAATCTCTTCTCCACTCTCTTCTCAGGATTTTGAGCACATATGCCTGGTGTGTTTTTCAAGCCTCCAAATCCAGAACTTGAACCCCCCAGTTGACCATGTAGGATCTAGTAGCTTAAACCATTATACCACCAGCTGGCCCAGAAGCACATATACTTAATATGTTAAATACTCAATATTTTTAAAATTAGTACATATGTTAAATTGTAAGAACCTTAAAAAAAGTAATTAAAAAAAGTCGTACCTGAGTAAAAATATTGTGTGTTTGGCTTAAAATCCACCTGGCATCAGCATCAGGTGCCACTACTAATTTCAAGGTCCCAACATAGACGTCAGAACATAAGGTCCAGAAGTGCTGTTCTTGTAAACTGTAAACTCCTTGTAACTGCTGTACCTGAAATACAAAGGGCAAATGGTAATGTCATAATCACTTAAATCATCCTGAAACACATCAGTAAGCATGACTTCTATCCTCTAATTAAAAAAATGGGAGGTGACTGAATTAACAAATACCTATTGAGTTCTCATCGTGTGTCACGTAATATGTCAGATTTTTTTGAAATATAAATGAACACATCTCAAATTGTAGGGCACACCTGAAAAAGTACCAGAGGGTAGTTTCCAATATCAACAGAAAACAAGTATAGATACAAATGACCTAAGAAGGTTAAGAACAAAGTAAGCATCCAAATAGAAGGAAATAAAATACATAAAGACAGAAATTAATGATGCAGATTTAGAAAATAATAGACCTCACGATGTCTAAAAACAAGATCTTTGAAAAAACAAATAAACTAGAGGGGTATTTTTTTTTCTCCTTTTTTTGGAGAGGTTTTTCGCTATAGGGCGTGTGTGCTCGCCAGACAGACAGAGAGAAACATAGAGACAGAAAGCGAGAAATCACCCCCCAGGGAGGATGGCCACGCCGCAATCCCTTCTCCTCTCGGGACCTTAGGCACGCACGCACACGCACCCGGCGTGAGTTTTAAGCCACCAGGTCCAGGACACGAACTGCGCTCGACTACGTGGGAGTCCAGTGACATAGCCATTACACTAACTGCTGGTTCCCAAGAGGGGTATTTCTTTAAAGAATTATTTTGTTTAACTTTATTTTATTTATTTTAAATTTAGGCCAGAGAGGGAGAGAGGGAGACATGGAGAGAGGGGGGGGGGAGGGAAAAAGTGAGAAAGCAAGCCACCAGGGTTAGGACTTGAGCCGTGGTTGACCATGTGGGAGCACAACATCCTTAACTACCACACCACCTGCCAGCCCCTAGAGAGGTATTTTTTAAGAGGGAATATACACTTGCTGGAGAGATGGTCATCCCACAAGCCTTTCTACTTCATTCTCCTTCCTTATGGAATTTTGGGCATGCATGTACCCAAGCACTCACGCTCACATACACACCTCCTGTGTTTTTCAAGCTGCTGGTCTGGTACTCAAACTGCTCAGCAGGTCATATGAGATCCAGTTGTTTTAACCACTGTGCCACAAGCTAGCCCAGAGGAGTATTTCTTTTCTTTTCTTTCTTTTTTTTTTTTTTATAGAAGTGGTGATAGACACATTATTTTTATTCTCTTTCTGTTAGTTATTAATATGGGAGTCTTTTTTTTTTTTTTTTGAGGTTTTTGCTATAGGGCGCGCGCGCTCGCAAGACAGCGAGACATAGAGACAGAAAGCGAGAAATCACCCCCCAGGGGGGATGGCCACGTCACAATCCTTTCTCCCCCATTCTCCTCTCGGGATCTTGGGCATGCACGCACATGCGCCCGGTGTGAGTTTTAAGCCACCAGGTCCGGGACGCGAACCGCAGTCGACTACGTGGGAGTCCAGCAACATAGCCATTACATTAACTTCTGGTCCCAGAGGAGTATTTCTTAATAGGCCAATTCTTCACTGTGTGTGACTTCTGAGAAACCACATTGCCCTTGCATCCCTGGGCCCCAGAGAAGCAAATGCCAACATGCCCTTCCCCAAATCATATGACTATAAAAAAAGGAGGATGTCTTCAGTTTTTTCAGTGGCTCCCTAAATTTTCCTCAGCCTTAGACCGAGATCCATTGGCAATACAAACCTCTGATCAGGTGAAAGAGATGAAATAAAAAAGAAAAATTAAAAGAGAGACTAAGTAAAAACACAACAGATTAAAAAAACCATAAAAAGGAATATAACACTACTATATAATAAAGTATCAATATATGAATACGCAAAATATTCATACACTAAGAATCCAAACAATTCTCACTACTTCTACTGCCATCAGCCCAGCCCAAACCTCTATTATCTCTAGTCTGGATTATCTGAATAGCATCTTAACTGGTCTAATTCTAGCCTTCCACAGCTTCCATTTAGTCTCAGAACAGTACGATTAAGATCCTGTTACACTAAGTTAGGAGCTGTCGCTCTTCTGTTAAAAATCCTCCACTGGCTTCCCACCTTTTTCCTAGTAAAAACCAATGCTTTTAGGCAAAGTGGCCCCCTTTGGTGGCTGGGAGCTGGATTTACATATGGCTGACTTTGGTTTGAGCTGCAGACCTAGCAGCTTGAAAATCACACTAGGTGCATGTGTACATGAGCATGCCCAAAATCCTGAGAGGAGGATGGAGAAGGAATTAAGAGGGGCATGGAGAAGGAATTAAGACATGGCCATGCACTGTGGAAAGTGATTACTCACTTTCCTTCTCTGTCACTCTTGGCAAGTGCATGTGCCCTACGGCAAAAACCTTAATAAAAAAAAAAAAAAAAAGAAACACAAGCCTTCTGACCATTCTTTTTTTGAGAGCTTTTTCCTATAGGGCGTGTGTGCTCGCCAGAAAGACAGAGAGACAGAGAGACAGAAAGTGAGAAATCACCCACCAGGGGGATGGCCATGCTGTAATCCCTTCTCCTCTGTTACCCTCTCGGGACCTTGGGCATGCATGCACGTATACGCGCCCGGCGTGAGTTTAAGCTGCCCGGTCTAGGACTTGAACCACGGTCAACTACATGGGAGTCCAGGGACATAGCCATTACGCCAACTGCTAGTCCCCCTTCTGATCATTCTTTTAAAAAAAGCCAGGCATACCACTGCTTCGGCTGAAATTCTCTCTGTTCCAGCATTCTTCCTCACAGATTTCGGCACGGTCCACTCTGGATCTTGACTCAAAAAGGTCATCTTCTCAGAAAGTCCTTCTTTTCTTAATCTAGCTAAAGCTACAATGTCTTCATTGTTATATTTCCTTGCTTGGTTTTACTTCTTGGCACACAGCATTACATACTATATTATTTATTTATATTATTTATAATTGTTTATTGTATGTGTCCTCTAGCAAAATGTAAACCCAGTAAGGTTAGAAATTTATTTTTGGTTTGTTTTTTATATGTTGTATCCTTAGCACCTAAAACAGTGCTTGGCCTTTAGTAAGTGCTTAGTAAATAGAATCTATACTAAATGAATGAAAATACACTTTTGGAAATCTAGACAAAATAGATAAATTTTTGGAAATACAGAAAACCCCAAAATACAAAAAAAAAGAAAGAAAGAGAAAATGTGAAAGGGCCATTAAAAATTTAAATGGTAATAAAGTTCTCTTTCAAAAAAAGCCTCAGATTTTGAGAGCAAACTTTAAAGTAACAGATAGCCTCTGTTTTAGTTTTTCCAGAAAATAGAGGAGCAAAAAGTAATTTTAACCCCAATCACACAGTAAATAATAAGCTAATTTATCTAATGAATTAAACGAGCTAAATCTAACAATGTATTTAAAAGTAACACATTGTAACTAACCTGCATTTATCTAAAGAGGGAAAAGATGGCTTAACATCAAAATTCTATTAATATTGTTATTTAATTAATTAAATAAAGCATTATGATTACTTAATAAAGTCTAACAACTATTGGGAACCAGCAGTTAGCGTAATGGCTATGTCGCTGGACTCCCACGTAGTCAACCGCGGTTCGCGTCCCGGACCCGGTGGCTTAAAACTCATGCTGGGTGCGTGTGCGTGCGTGCCCAAGATCCCGAGAAGAGAATGGAGGAGAAGGGATTGTGGCGTGACCATCCCCTCTGGGGGGGGTGATTTCTCGCTTTCTGTCTCTATGTCTTTCTATGTCTGGCGACCACACGTGTCCTGTAGCAAAAACCTCTCCAAAAAAAAAAAAGTCTAACAACTATTTATATTTAGAAAAAAAAAATGCTGGGAGGATACTTCCTTAACTTATTAAAGGCTGCCTACTAACAACGTATAGAAAATATTGAAGGAAGAAAGCTTAGATGTACTCCCTCAAAGATAAAGATCAAGACAAAGATGCCCAAATGACTGCTATTGCTCAGCATCTCTGTATAGATCTGGAGGAGCTGAACTAAGAGCCATATCCAGAAGTTGAAAGAAAGATTAATGTAAAAAAGAGCTTTATGACAACATTTAAAAAAGAAAGAGGCTACTCTGCAGAGGGGTAACTATCTACCCCAGGAGATGGTCAAAAAGCCACACGGCCAATTGGTGTCACAGAAGAGAATCTTGTAAAAGATGTAAGTTTGGAGCAAACTAATAAGATCCTTTTCAAGATTCTGAGATTCTCTGATTTCTAAGTATCTACTTGGAAAGTCAATTAAGAAAAAGTTCATCTTGGGACCAGCAGTAAGTGTAATGGCTATGTCGCTGAACTCCCATGTAGCCGACCTTGGTTAGAGTCCTGGGCCCGGTGGCTTAAACTCACGCTGGGTGCTTGTGAGTGTGTGCCCAAGATCCCAAGAGAAGAGTGGAGGAGAAGGGATTGCAGAGTGGCTATCCCCCCAGGGGGTGATTTCTCACTTTCTATCTCTCTGTCTCTCTCTGTCTTTCTGGCAAGCACACGCGCCCTATAGCAAAAACCTCTCCAAAAAAAAAAAAAGTTAATCTTGCACCTATTAAAAATATTTTTTACCAGATGAATATAGGCTCAATATTCAATAGGGACTATATTTACATGATGAATACAGACACTATTTTCAATAAACTCCAAATTATTTGGTGGGATCTTTGAAACAGTACACATTGCGCTCTTCATTTAAAAGAAATTTTTTTAGAATTATTTTATTTTACTTCATTTATTTACTTATTTATTTATTTTAACTTGGACAGAGAGAGAGAGAGAAAGTGAGAAAGCAAGTCACCAGGTCCAGGACTTGAACTCAGTCGGCCATGTGGGAGTCCAGTGCCCTTAACCACCATGCCACCTACCAGTCCCCAACACACTGTACTCTTTAAAACCAGTTTTTCTGGAGAAAAAGATTAAAGTGAACTCTCTTCCACGTACAGTGGTTTAAATTTGTTTTCCCTCCCCATTTCTCTGGCAATCTCATGGAGTGGTCCACTGATAGCAAAAAAAAAAAAAAAATCCTGAATGAAAAGATTTCCCCTACTGCAGCAGAAGCAGCAGGACAAGTACACTCTTGTAATTATCCTAAAATACAGATTTAGAAATAATTTCTGTGGAAAATGATTTTAACTCTCTAAATTTATAAATGGGAAAAAGCATAATTACAGAAGAAAATCTATACTGTTATTCCTGTCTGGCAGTGTGGTATAGAAGGAGAATAGACGTGAGCTTCTGAGTCAGAATATGGATTAGAAACCTGATTCGGCCACAAGCACTTGTGATCCTAAATGAATGACTTGAATTCCCTGGGACTGAATTTTACCTAGCGAAGGAAGGTCTGTGAAGCACTAGGTAAAGGGACCAGCTTACAGTAGGCATTCAATAAAGTGGCCTGCCCTCTTCCACAGTTATGCTGACTAGTGCTGCCTTAACATCACAACTGCACATTTTAAATGGGCAATACTTCCCCCATACTAAAAAAAGACTTTTTATAGCTACTTCTTTTCCTCTAGCCTTTGAATCTTTCCATATTACACTGCAAATCCTAGACAAAATAGAAGCACTTAGAAAGTCTTGTATCTGCTCCACCAAATCCACCACTCAGTCCTCATCTATATCAGCGCTCTCTGCCTTCTTCACAGAATACAGTATCCCTGATGCTATCCACGATTAATCCTTGTACTTGGGCTTCTATTCTTTCTTACCGTCTTAAAAACTTCATTACTTCAATAATCTCCTTCACTCCCTAACATGCTCCTGAAATTGATCTTATCAAGGCCATTAATGATGCTTATGATACCTGTCAATGATCACTTCCCTGTCCCTACCATAGCATCAGTTTCTTCCTCTATGTTGGACTGTTCTCATCGGTAACACACATGAACTGTGTTATGCAATACAAAAGTCAAATATATCTGGCTGTTTAAATGAACGACAATTTAATTTAATTTTAAAAATTAGTTGCATTATCCCTATGAGGCTTGAGACTTCTATACTGGACAGTACAGATTATAGAACTTTTTTTTTTATTGGAGAAAGTTCTACAAGATAACACTGTCCTAAAATATCGTATTTTAAAAACAAACAAACACCCTTCCTCCTGCTACAAATCCATATCCAGGCTATTAACTCATTCTCTGAGCACTTTAACAACAAAACTACTTGAGAGAGTTGCATGTAGCCACTGACTCTAATTCTATAATTAATTTTCTCCCTAATCCACCCAAACCATGCTCACTCCCCAATATGCCACCGAAACGGGTCTTATTCAGGTCATTAATGATGCTTATGATGCCTGTCAATGATCACTCCCTGTTCCTACCTTATTGGCCCCACAGAAATACTGAGCCCAGTTGATTACTTCCTTCCTTTAACTTTGAGGTTTTCTAGTTTTCCAGCTCTCTTACATACACTACTCTCTTTCCTGGCTTTCCCACCTGGGCTTAAAGTCTGGAGTTGAAAGCAGAGCTATGAGAATAGAACTATAACCACCCCTTAGTTAATCTCATGCAATCTCAATGTTTTTTTTTTTTTTTTTGAGAGGTTTTTCACTATAGGGCGCGTGCGCTCGCCAGACAGAGAGAGACATAGAGACAGAAAGCGAGAAATCACCCCCCAGGGGGGATGGTCACGCCGCAATCCCTTCTCCTCCATTCTCCTCTCGGGATCTTGGGCATGCATGCACACGCGCCTGGCGTGAGTTTTAAACCACCGGGTCCGGGATGCGAACCGCAGTCGACTACGTGGGAGTCCAGCGACATAGCCATTACGCTGACTGCTGGTTCCCAGCAATCTCAATGTATTAAATGTATTCATGTATTGATGACTCAAAACTCTTTCTAGTCAGAATCCGTCCCTGAAATGCCAAATTGCATATCCAACCACTTAACTGACATATCCCCAGAAAGTATAACAAGTGTCTCAGTTTTAACAGCCAAAGAGAATTCTTGATTTGGGGGATTTTTCCATCCTCAAACCTGCATCTCAATTTCAACAAAATAGCAATACCATTTGTTGGTAAAGAGTTTTGTTGCCAATACTCTTCCCCTTATTAATATTGAAAAAGTAATGACGCATTATTACATGTTTTCCTCTGCAAAAATGTGTCACAACTTTTCAGATGACCCAATATAATCCTCCTAAAAACACCCCAGATGTTTATTTTTTCTCCATCTTTCAGCTATCATGGCAGTCCTAGCCACCACTTTGTTTTCATGTTATGTTATATCAACACCTTCATAACTTTTTTCTTTGCTTTCATGGTCCTTAGAATTCATTCCCTATGTAGCAAGCAGAATACTTTTGTAAAAATGTAAGATCCATGGAGCTCCCACTACCTCAAGCCTTCCAATGCCTCCCACTGAATTAGAAGTAAATTCAAACCTCTTTGTATGCCCCAAATCCCTGTATGATCTGGCCCCTGCTCTTCCACCTCCCAAGCTACTTTTCCCTTTATCAGGCTTCAGCCACATGGCTGTTTGTCTGGTCTCGGAACATACTAAATGAGTTCCGGCCACAGCACTATTACATTAGTGTTTTCTTTTGCCTACATCATTCTTCTCTAGGATCTTCATATGGTTGACTCCTTCTTGGCATTAAGATTTCAATTTCCTTGAATATGACTTCCTCAGTGAAACTAACGTAGCCATCTATATCTATACATTACCTTGTATTATTTCTACTAAAGTAGTTATCACTGATACTTCTTATTTACCAATTTATTATTTAGTGCCTATATTTCTCCAATAGTGTAAGCTCCATGAGAATAGAGCCCCTCTGCCTCTTGTTTACCATCACAGCCCCACCACCTAGAATAGTAATTTGGCATAAAATGGAAGCTCAAAATAAGAGAACTGAATAAATGCTTACTTCATCTGCTATCCATAGTCTGTTTTAAAGCAACTGCTCAACTTCTAGATGAGAACAATTTCTACCACATTTTTCTTTAGTAAAGTTCAACATTTTCTTATGATTTTATTGTGGTTGGTACAAATAGCATTCATGGTCAGTATTCAACCTTGGAAGAAATACTAAATTATACACACATGCTACCCATATTTGTCAAAAGCTCAAAACCCTAACAGTTCAGAAAAACAAAAGTCTAATGGTTTGGAAGAGCTGAAACTTACCCTCTGATAGCACTGAGGAAGAGTATTTTCCAACAGAGGAGGAGTTCTTTGCATTAATATTCCAACAGACTCTCTTAGAAGAGGAATAACACTAAAGAAAATGAAGACAGCAAATTCATTAAAGCCACATCATGAAAACCTAATCCTGCAAGAAAGTAATAATATTCCTGTCTATAGTAGAATATAATAAGACTTATCAGAATAATATGAAGAAAAAGAAGGAACTGTTTCAAATATTTTATATGAACAGTAAGTTACTATCTAGAGTTGAAGAACTAGAGAAAATATATCAATCATAAAATGAAAGATTAAATTTATAATATTGAATAATAACAAATTATAATAATATTGAGACATCTAAAAATCCAAACGTAAGTATTCAACTGTTATTTAAAACAGGACTTCATATGGTCAGCAGCTTCCAATGTAATCCATAAAGCTATCAGGCTGAATGGTCCTTAATATTTACCAAACATTTACCTGACTAGTATAAAGAAAAACACACAAAAATAAAAGTTTCAGTCTACTCATCCAGCATTTTTAAAACCCAATTATGTAGTAGTCTTATCACATTATTTTTTTTAAAAACGTGTAAAAATGGGGCCGGCAGGTGACGTGGTGGTTAACGGGAGCTGGACTCTCACATGGCTGACCACAGTTTGAGTCTCAGGCCTAGCGGCTTGCTTTCTCACTTTCTTTCTCTCTCTCTCTGCCTCTCTCTGGTAAAATTTAAAAATAATAATAATAAATAAAATAAGCAATCCTTTAAAAAAATCTGGCTATAATCATAGGTGTAGTAAACTCATAAGCTCTAGGGATGGAGCCTCAAAGTCTACATGTATTGATGTAGCTAGTATTTGAAAATACTATTTCATGTTGTTTGGATGATTAATTATATACAAAACAGGTATAGCGTAATAGTGAGGGTGACCAATGTAATGGCTTTCTAACCTACCTATGCACCAGTCATCTTTGAGTCTTAATTTTGTTTTTATTTCAGACATATTGAACCAGATTCCTTGAAGATAGGTCTGGGCATTTATGGGAATAAAAAGCTTTCCTGGTGGGAACCAGCAGTTAGCGTAATGGCTATGTCGCTGGACTCCCACGTAGGCGACCGCAGTTCGTGTCCCGGACCCGGTGGCTTAAAACTCACGCCGGGCGCGTGTGTGTGCGTGCCCAAGATCCCGAGAGGAGAATGGAGGAGAAGGGATTGCGGCGTGACCATCCCCCCTGGGGGGTGATTTCTCGCTTTCTGTCTCTATGTCTCTCTGTCTCTCTGGCGAGCGCACGCGCCCTACAGTGAAAATCTCTCAAAAAAAAAAAAAAAAAAGCTTTCCTGGTGATTCCAATGAGCCAGGTGATACAGCTCTACAGCTTGAAGTAGAGTGAGGGAAAGGCCAGAAGTAGCTTCATTACACTTAATAGTTTAAGCCAGTGCTCACTTTTGAACTGCAGAATCTCAAAATTTCCCAAGAAAGATTTCTCCTGATAACAGCTATAGAAGATGAAAATAAAAAGAACCTTTATACCGGGTCATCAGAAAAGTCATGAAGCATTTTGCATAGAAAGAGAGAAAAATATGTCATGACTTTTCCAATAGCTCAATATATGCTTCAAGGAAAGCTTGCTAAGAAGAGTATTGAAGGGTACTTTAAGGATTACTGGTATTTCTGACAGACAAAAAGAGAAGGTACTAATAATGACCCAAAGGAACAAAGACAATGCTTATCCCTTTCACTGTTTTTTTTTTTTTTTTTTTTCCCCAAGGAGGACTAGTGAAATACTGACCACAAGGTGGACCTATGATTACTGTTGGTTGAACAAATAATATATACATAGACAGGCACCTCAACAGGCCCTTAGACAGAGTTCTACTCTCAGCCTCAGCCAGCCAGGATCATGGGTATGCACACGTGCTTACTATGCAAGGGAGACCTTGGGATGTGAACCAGGGACCTCTGCATGTTGCTTCAGCACCATGGAGCATTACCTCACCACTGAACCAATGCAGTCCTATCCTCTTCTTTGGCTCCCACTCTCTCCCTAATACCAGTCATGTGCTAATAATCTGTCCTACTGAGATACCATGTGGCAAGAATCTGAGGGACACAGAGGGAAAAGGATACTGTCAACAACCACTTGAGTAGTTTAAAAGTGAATTCTACCTCAAAAGTGTTGGGATTACTGGCCCATGGCTCATACCTTAATTGCCACTTTAGGAGGACCCTGAGTTAGAGGGCCCAATTAGCCACACTCAGATTCATAAGCCACAGAAATTATGAGACAATGATACACTATTTTAGCCTCTAGGTGCTTGGGTAATTTGTTATGTACCCATAAATAACAACTACAACTATTCTTTATAGAGCTATTAGACTATTACATATAAACTCCACCCGGGCTATATCTGTAGCCAGTGGTTACAGGAGCAGGATCCTACTTGGCCAACTGCAGTTTAATTGCAGAGGTTTGAAAACACATCAGGCATGTGTGCATGTGCTCTCCAAATCATGACAGAATGTTGAAAAAGAGAAGAGATTAAGAGAAGAGATTATGGCGTGACCATGCCCATTGGGGGGTGCTTTCTCCCTCTTCTGTCTTTCTTTCCACCTCTAGCAAACTCCCTGGAAATTGGAGGAGGGGACCCAAAACACACACACACACTCAAAGAAAGAAAGAAAGAAAGAAAGAAAGAAAGAAAGAAAGAAAGAAAGAAAGAAAGAAAAAAAAAAGAAAAAAAGAAAGAAAGAAAAGCACCCCTCTGCCTTGAGGATGAAGTGTAAATCCTCCAACTCGGTGTACCTTTGGATACGCATCCCCATCCCCCAGCTTCATCTTCTATCAATCTTTGCTTCCCATTCTAAGCTTTCCAAATACAAAGGCACTTTGCTAACCTTATGCTGTCTCTTACTTTCACGCTTTTAGTTCATGTTGCAACCTCTGCCTAAAATATCCCTAGACTGCTCTTTGGTCTGGCTTTTACTCCTTCTTTAAAATCTCAAGTGTCACCTATTGGGGACATAATTCCTGATCCCAAGCTGTCCTCCAAACTATATACAATATCCTCTTATGTTCCTATTAAAAAAAAATGATACCTATGATATATTTACATTGCACGATAATTATCAGCTTGGGTTTCCCTCTCGCTTTAAACTGAAAGATGCTTTAAGATAGGGACGATGTCTTGTTTATGTTTGTGTCTCTAGCTCTTTCCAGACAGTGTTTGGAATTAATGTTTATGAAACTAATTATAGCTGAATTCATTAAACTTAATTTTAAAAGTACACTTAAGGTAAGGGATCAATACACAATACTGCAGAATGTGTGGCATTATTAGCAGTTAGGGGAAAAAAGCACCAATGAAGACAATAAAAGTACAGCATCAGGAAAAAGGAAACATATTTCTAAAAGCAATACATGTCACAATGAAGGAAGAAAGATATGAACAGAGAAAGGCCATTGACCAAATAATAAAAATATTGTTTGAGACCTCCTATTGCACAATTTCAGGAAAAATGAAGTCAGGTTGGAGAATGCTGGGGAAAAAAAAATAGTGAAAACAACTGAAAGTGGAGTTAAAGATTTTTGACAGTGAAAGGACATTATTCATCCAAACCAAAGAGTGGTATCTGTTCCTAGCTGATGTGTTGTCATTAAATAGATGAAGACTCCCTGAGTTTACAAAAAAGGCAAGAAAAAACATGCTGGCAGACTAATAAGGTACAATTCAATCATCCTCATTTCTAAGGGGAAAAAAAGAATCAGTTGCAGGCTGCTTTTATATATTGAACTAAAATCTTTATGTTTTACTACTTTCTTTTCTTTTTCTTTTTTTTTTTGGAGAGGTTTTTTTTTTTTTTGCTATAGGGCGCGTGTGCTCACCAGACAGACACAGAGAGAGAGAAAGCGAGAAATCACCCCCCAGGGGGGATGGCCACGCCACAATCCCTTCTCCTCCATTCTCCTCTCAGGATCTTGGGCACACATGCACACGCACCCGGCGTGAGTTTAAGCCACCAGGTCCGGGACTCGAACCATGATCGACTACGTGGGAGTCCAGCGACATAGCCATTATGCTAACTGCTGGTCCCACTACTTTTTTATATTTCTTAGAAAATAAGGCATAAGAATGATTCTCATGCCAGTTGGTAGCATGGTGGTGAAGGCAGGCAGGGCAGATTCCACAAGGCGGACTGAGTAGTTCAAGCCCCAGACACAGCAGCTTGAAAAACACGCTGAGTGTATTTGTATGTGTGTTTGTATGTGTGTGTGTGTGTGTGTGTGTGTGTGTGTGTATGTCTAATACCCCAAGAAAAAATGGAGAAGGGACTGTGGTGTGACATGCCCCCTGGAGGGGAACTTTCTCACCTTCCCTCTCTGCTTCTCTCCAGTGAGCACATACATACTTGAATTATTTGAGAATAAGAAAAAAGTTTTCTTTCCTATGTGCCTCCTAAATTTAGATATTTTAATCATTTCTTCTCTAATCTTCATCCTAAGGAACTGCTAATAATGTCTAGATATCTGAGATGGAAATCACACTCACATGAAAATCCCGACAATCTAATTCTGCTAGCAAATAGCTTTGGGAAAAATCACATAACCTTCCAAAGCATAAATTTTCTTATCTATAAATGAGGGGGTAGATTAAATATCCAAGCAATTTCTTCCATCTTTAATCTATTTTTCATTCATGGGAAAAAAAAAAAAACAGTGGTCAAACTATAAGAAATAGTAGAGAATATATCCAGAAATGAAATAAAATAAAAATTGCTTTTATATACTGAGAAATAAAAGGCATTTTATTGCACCAAAGACATAGGATACATTTAACAAACCAATTTACTCCAACACTACTTAGATAATCCTGCAAATAAATTTCATTAAGCAAACAATAGAAAGCAAGGATAATTAAACACCTACTATAGCTTGGCCTCAGATTTTCTAGAAGCATGTGGGATCCTACTATAGTGTGGTGGAAACAGAGACCTGGAACACCAAAATAGCCAATCCGAGAACAGAGCTAGTGAGTGAGGTTGTTAGAATTAACAGACCAGGTCTTTTAACTCAAAATTTGGTTTTAAGAAG